AGACTACTCTACTGTCATTCAGATAACATAGCAATACAACTGCCAGAAATAGTCGAGATACTTGCCTTTCCATCTTACTAATGAGACTTGGTATCTGGCTTGCTGCTGCATTTACAATAGCAGAGGCTCGAGAATCACATAACTGTATCTTATTTATAAGATACTCCCTGAAAGCAAATCTTCTGTTCAGATGATATTTCTTGCTGGCTTGCAAAAAATCCATTAGCTCTTCAATGTCTCCCTACAGGAAAGGAAGAACAAACATATCTAATGTACTTAGATGTACTGTTAAATTCAACTATCGCTTGTGAGTAGCGGTCAGATCAGATTTGTATATTAATAGGGCAAAATTAAATAGCTCTTACATATGAAAAACTATGAGTTTATATTAACTTAAATCTAATTATCATGTCAAATTAGTACTGTTGTTTCAATAAAACAAAGTAAAGAATATTTCCAGCTCTTGGCATGAGTACTTAGGCCTCATCGTCACACGTACTCTCCTAAATAATCAGAGCGCCTATGTGTTAACATACACAATCTCAGGCTCTGCTGGCAGGATTTTAAGGGAATTTAGGAAATGCTGGGCTGAGCCTGACCCCCAGGTGATCTACTGAAAGGTGTAATTTTTTAGCGTCAAGTCAGGCATTCTCCTACTGAGCGCGTGGGGATAACATACACATAAGAAAGCAGGTAGGCAAAGAAAGGATCCCCTCAAACACAGGGCAAGAGTGGGCAATGGGAAGGGTTGAGATACCTAAGAGGTTGATCTGATAAGAGATGGGCTCAGGAGGGTCAGCAGCAGAGCGCCTGATGGAGGTAGGTGACCAAGCCGGTCTTCTACTTAGGTGACCCATGTCTAAGCAGCCAAAATAGCCTCAACACTTCTTTCACACACGCCCCATCTTTCCCCTGTGCGCTCAGCCGTTTTTTGCACAAGCGTATGCCGCACCTACATCTGTTAGTGGCCCACATGGGACTCTTCAGTAGTAAGATCTGACAGTGAATCTTGCTTTAGAAGTGGGGCCTCGCAAAGGAAATAGCAAGTTTTGACACCTACTTTCCAGACGCTGCTTTGTAACCTCCAGGACTTCAACTTGTTACCCTTTTGACATATGACAACAACATAACGAAGAGCAACAATCACATGCTTTTCTTCAAGAGGCAGCCAGAATAACAATCCTCAAAATTTTTGAAATCCAGAACACTGACTTTCAACACACACAGAATAAAAATCCCTTCTAGGAAACAACACAAACTACTGTGCTGCAAAAGGTTAAAATGTAACTAAAACCAAAATTGAAGTCCTGACCATACAGCACTCCCTACCATGTAAGCTGGAGATATTCAGTCCCTTAAAATACAAAGCGATAGCACTTTGGAGGTATTACCATTTCAATAATCTACAGATTTGGATTGCGGGACGCAGTACATCTTAGGAAGCGTGGAAAAGCAGCTGATACCTAGCATGTTTTGAAAACATCTGTATGTCGCTGCAGTCCCTTTATACGGCCTAAATTATTTTTGAAAATGGCACTTGGGCATTTCCATAGCATGCTGAGGTCCCCATTAATACCAGTCAGGGCAGATCTGGAACCAGAAGTTTGCTGCATGAGCACAGATGTGCTGTTTGAGCACGCTGCAGGGGCAAGCTCCAGGGCAGAGCTGCACCAACAGAGCTTTCAGGAGCTCGGCTAGCCCCCAAGGTGTACAGGCATACCAAAATATTCATGTCAAAATTGGAGATTTCTAAGTCACAGTCTTCCAGTGCATGGTGTAGACATTGTTTTAGACTTATTTCTGCTGCATGACACAAGTGAGCTCTTATTCTTGTCTTCCTTGAGCAGTAAAGACAAGCTTTTAGCACTCGGGTGCTTTGTAAATATTACCCAAGAAGGCAGCATCAAACATACAATGCTGTGGCAAAAACATCTAACTCTTGTCATTGTAGAAGACAGTTGTGCAGGTGCATTAACGCATAGCTGTTTAGACGTCTAAATGTGCATAAGGATGATGTTATACTTTTAAATTATTCCTATGAACATTAGTTATAAAAGTGATAAAATAAGGGCAATATTTTTTAGAGGCCTATGAGTGCAGACATTTCCTGAAACACTTTCCAAAAGTTACTGTGGGTTTGTACTCTGTCATTAGGTTAGGAACGGCATTATTATCCTATTACCTGTATTTTAGAGTAATCTTGCACTAGTATTTTAGCTGCTTCTAACTTCAGTTCTCCCTTGAAAATGGCATTTGCTATCTGTGTAAAAAAGATGTTATGCAGCTCCTTTCTCCTGGAAATAGCCAGCTGTCTATAAGCCTTTGCAAAATATTCCTCCTGCTTTACCAGAAGAAACCTCTTCAAATGGTCCTGCTCCAGGCCGTGAAGTCTATCCAGAAGACTTCTGTATTCTACAGCAGGCTGCAGAGATGAGAGAAATTAACAAATCTGAAGTGAGACTCAGTATTCAACATATTTTAAACTACCAATGTTTCTAGCTTATATATATTCTATGCATACTCCGATTACTCATTTCAGGTTTGAATGAACCTGAAATGCTGAAATGCTTAACGCTAAGTCAATGTATATTTTCCATGTTTTTCATCTGTTCATAATGAAGAGGGTTGTACAACATTCAATCTATAATCTAGACAACATTTCCAAGGCATAATGAAAGCTTTTAGAATTGAGGAAGCATTCTTTAAGACAAAGTGTACAAAACTGCACGACATTCAACACAAACTGGCTATATACAAAACACGTTTCTTAGGCTTCATCAGTTCTGGGATCTTATTAATATTGAACATAGTTATATAAATCAGGGTAATGAAATAACAATAAGCATAAATTTTTAAACGATATAAATTAGAAAAATCTATTCTACTGCAAGTCTTTAGAAGTTCTTAATATCAGTGACCTACTTTATCTATCGATTTCTAGAAATTAATCCAAGAGCATCAGTTTAGAGTCACAACAATGGAACAGAATTAAATGGCAATTCATTTAAAACCTTCTCTGCAAGAAATACTTTCGCATAGCTCTCCAGCAAGACTTAAATATTCATAGCTTTAAACTCAGATGGCATAAACTCATTTTAAAATCAAAACACAAAACATCTCACAGAGCAAAGAAGGCTTCTTAGGGCAGCAGAGCCACCTCATAGTAGTTAGGTTGCTCTTGTTCTAAATTTCATACTATTTGTCTGTGGAGTTTGTCCTCTGCGCTGAAAACTGCCTGCACCACCCCTCATTCCCACAGAGGCACCTTGCAGGCAGCCCATAATTAATCAAAAAGGCAGAGAATACATGGTCTATGTTTTTGGCATTATTTTCTGGACAGCAAATAGCCACAGTGATGACAGTGTAAGGACTTACCACCTGTGAAATTAAATATATACTCAACCCCTTGAAGAAGGCGGCAATACCTGAGAAGGCGAGTGCCGTGCTGCTGTAACACTCAGGCATGTCCCAGCAAAGGGAGAACACAGGGCCAAGAGAGCTCTGCGCACCTGGTACAGCAGCATCACCGCACGCCACCAGGGCGGAGGCAACCAAATACCAACATGAAATAAAAATCGCATCAATACCCTTGTCTTCCTCCTACGCTAACATAAGAGACTACATAGGATTAATATAAACACTAGGGTTTTTTTCTTTCTTTAATTAGATCATCATTATTACTCTTCTGTAAGAGAAGCAGTGTGTTTACCATGCATTCATATGCATGGTAAATTTTGCATTTAAGATCTTCTCTGCCATCACAAACTGGTAATTTTGTCGCTCATCATTATTAACTACAGAGACTGACTTGTAAGTGTGCTGTTTGATCATACCACACCAAAACCAACTTTATTAGCACTGAATAAATCCATTTTGAAAAATAATGTGGCTAGGAGGCAGAGCGGCAGTGGTGAAGCATTTGAGTATTTATTTAATTTTCTGTACTGCTCTTCAAGAATAACACTGACAAATGTGTCCAGAGAAGAGCAACAGGAGTATAAAATGACCTATGAGGAGAGATACACACAATTCAGCTTAGGAGCCCTTAAAAACTACCAAAAGGTAGTTTAATCAAAATGCAAGTGGCAGATGGAAAAAAAAAATGCTAGACACACACTTGCCACTGTCAGGACTTTCAGTCGCTTTCAGGACTGCCTGGATTCCCCCCAGCTGTTGTTAGAAAACAGTTTTGGGTATTAAGAGCCTCTGTTAAGCTGGAGTGGGTGAGGGAAGAGAAATTTTCACAACACAACAACTCACAAACATCTCTAACAGCAGCTATAATTTGGTTTAAAAAAAAAAACAAAACCTTAACTTCAAGTAAATAATTTTTCTTCTCCTTTTTCTGCAAACATTAAACCACAGACTTGTAAAGAGGGAAAAAACAATAGCTCTCAGCAAAGGCAGCCCCCGGTCCCACATCAGAGTTCAACTGAGAAATTACTCGTGTTTGCTTGGGGCAACATGCCTCAGCCAGCAACACAGACCGGAAATAAAATATGCACCCTGCTCTTCTCTGACAGAAGGGGAATCAAAAACATTGTAAGCTGAGATTTTTCAGAAGCACTAAACTGGAATTAATTCTTCTCCTATCAAGATTTGGCCAATAGTGAACATTTCTGAAAATTACTTCCCCGAGTTTTACTCTCAGACACAATTAAAGAGTAGGACAGGTGGAGGAATTACACCATCTACCTTACCTTACCTTTCTTAACGCCAGCCTACCTTGCCACATTGGCTGTTTCTCCTTTCACCCACACATCCCTGCTCTGGGGTACTGCAAGTCACTTCTCTACCGTGCCCTTTTCGCCCAGGTTCCAGGGAAGTACAAAAAACATTTTTTGTAGATGCCAGTGATTTTTGCTGCATTCTTTCACAAAGCCTAATTACTATCAGGATTTTTGGGGACAGGAACGTGAATAACAGGACAGAAGTAGATGATAAATGGAGTAGGACAAGAACTGAGCTGGCATTAATCCTTTCATTGGCTCCTATCATTTAGAATTTCTAAAACAAACCAGAAAAAGTACCAACGCGCTTTGTAAGAAAACAGAAGTGCTGCGCTGAGACCTGGAGCAAACAGCCAGCTTCAGCCAAGCCCCTCTCTCTGCAAGGGTAGGACTTATCTCAACCGTATCTATTCAAATATTAAGCTTCTAGTTTAACAGCTATCTAGGCTCCTTCTATAACCAATGGAAGGAGAAAGACTTCTGCACAGCATAATTCACCTCCTTAAAAAAGTGCCCAGAAATCTCACTCCCTCCCTGTCACCTTTGATCTTCTAGCACTCCTAGGTCAGGATGTTCATAACCAAAGGATATTCGAATGTTGCCTGGTGGCACAACTTAAAATTCATCTGGAAACCTCAAAGAAGTTCAGCTGGCTCACATAGCCTTGTCCTCTCAACTTTCTCCCCAAAAGAGTGATAAATCCGTTCTTCCAGACAGCCTCAACACACTCTACCATCTTTCATGGGACACACCCTTAGCAAAATAATTATTTTCTCACAACTGTCATTATGAATTGTCATAAAGTCCTAAACAACTACAGGTATATTGTATACAAACAGTAGGATATCATGTTTTGGCCGGGGGGGGTGGGGTGGGGTTGCTTGTTTGTTTTGTTTTTTGTTTTTAATAGAAGGCCAAAAGCTTCAATAATGTCCACAAAAGAGCATACACAAACATGCTGGGCTAAGGGAACGTATTCCTGCAATGAATTATTTTGTCTATACAACCCAAATGAAATGGACAGCTGGAACCTCGGCAGTGTCACATTCAATACCCTTGTATCTGTTTCTGTTCCAGAAGGAAAGCCCCGCTGGTAAATAATGAACTGCGCTACTTATTTCCATCAAGCCATCCTCTTGATCTGAGTTATCAAATTATACAAGCATGAAACATTACTTTGAGGACTTTTACATTTTAACTTTACAGAGGTGAAATATGCAAAAATCTAACAGAACTGTTTCCAGACAGATGAAATAACATGAAAAAAAATCAATCTGTTTTATCATAACATTTCATCACACTTGAAAAATGACATGGGCAAATGGAGCATGATTTTGTAGAGAGAAAGCTGGACTGGCAGTGAGATGACCCAGACTCCACTTCCAGCTAGTGACCACCTAGGAAATCCTGGGCAGTGATGCTTAACCATTCAGAGAGAGATCTTTGAATGAAAGCGATACATGTAAGCACTAAACTTTCACTTAAAATGAGATGCCAAGCGTATACAGAACTATAGTCTGCCTTTAGTTAATTTATCTAACTATTATCCAGAGGATATTTCCAGCAGCAGTCCACCCCCTGCTCTGCCTAGAATCTACTAGATCGTTCTGCTTGTCTTCATTCATTTGGGGAGAAATCAGCCCTTGTTTGAGCTTATAGACTCATTTTCCTCAAAATAAAAAATATATATTGCAGCCTTTTTAATTAGATTGAAAGACTTCTGATGAAGAGAGCGTTGCTCTGCTCTGAGCACGCAAAAAACTTTACACTGGCTCAGCCTGGAGATCCAAGGGACCGCGGCAGTATAAAATAATAAATAACAATAGTTCTCATTTCACAGTGGTGTGACTATAAAAAAGAAATCAGGGTAAGGATGACCTTTTGCTTTCAGGTGTCATAAATCCTCTTCAGAAAGTTTCATTGTCCTGGTAAAATAAAATACAGAGTTTCCTGCTAATGACAAATTATCACCTCTGAGCTTGCAATCACATTTAGTACTGTACAGCTTTTCTCTTTAGTTTTTTAAGAGGATAATTCAGCCGTCACAGTCTACAAGAAAACCAACAACACAAAAACCACATATCACGCACAGTATGTTGATTTCATACCAGATTTACCTTTTCGTTCACTTTCTTCATTAATTCTTCAGCCTCCTCGTTTGCAGCTCTTTCTTTTTGGTGCTGAGCCTCCATTTTCTTCCTAGTTTCCAAATTACATTCAGCTGTTAAAGCCACCATCTTTCTTTCATACTCTTCCTGAATCTCTTTCTCCATGGCAAGAAACTGCTTTTTAAAAATTGAACTCATCCTCTTCTCCACATGAGGAAAGAGGCTGTGACTGAAAACCATGTTCTTCATCATCATAGCAATCACTTCTTTGCACATCTGCATTCGATATGCCTCCAAATCAGCGTCTGCCCGAGTCAGGCTGGTGACTTCCAAGCTGTGGAGAGGCAATCGGGACTGTCTGAAGTCTCAGACTACTGGAAACTTCTACCACAAACCAAGGACATATAGATTCATTCAATCTTGTGAAACTGAATGGCAGAGGAGCACAGGAATATCACCGCGTATGAGCTCACTAATTACAAAAATAAGAACTCTTTAAAAAAGCAGAGTGCGCCAACTTCTACTACAGTTACTTCAATGAAACACCACTATTCTTATATTTCCATTTCAGTCAGAAAAAGGAAAAGCTTTTTTTTTTTCTTAGAACTCAAAACTTCCCTCAGCTCAAAGGCAAACATAAGCATCCTACAAAGAACAACTCGGTGAGAAGCACACTGCACATGGGGTGAATATCTGAATGGACTGTAAATTTCACTGATTTTGTAAAACAGTTCTAAACTCACTGACCCCTCCATACAAGTGCAGTACTGCTTCGTGTTCTGCTGTGATATACTCCCTTCTCTGTAAGGAAGGGGATAGACTGTTTAATTATTTGCTGATACACACAAATTAAAATAGTTGTATCTTTACTCCCATAAAAGTTAACAGAGTTCGAGAAAAGCGATTAAAACCAGACAGAAATACAAGACTTGTTATGAAATGCAGTAAATGTCACGTCGCATATGAGGAGATTCTCATTTATCACTAGAGCTAATTAAATTGCAAGGAGAATTATTCTCATTTCATACAGTACGTATCTATTGTAAATTCTGTAGTTTTGCTAATTCCGCACTCAATTCAGGATTGGGGAATTAGATATTATTTGCCCCTGCATGCCAATATACCTGAACACATAATACTATCTGCTTCTCTGTACAGATGAAGTATACAATAATTTCTTTGTGATCTACGATACACACCATCAACATCTTAAACTCAGCTTAAATTCTTTTTTTTTTTGCAGGCAAATCTTGGAATAAATTTCAAATGCTGTAGCAAGATGCTACAATGCTGGGAACATTTGCAACATGTTAGAAGAATACTATATTCAGAATGTTATATATCAGAGTGTACAAAACCACCAACAATTCACCTTTTTGTCAAGCAGCTCTTCTTTTCTTTATAAAACTAAATAAAGTTTAACTAAACAAAAAAACCCAGCGATATTATTATCACTGCCCCTCTGTTAAACACAGGAGAGGTATTTTGCCATTTAAAAATCAATGATCTGAGATTAAGTTATTTCTTTACCATAACTCTTAATATTCCCAAAATATACAGGAGGTACTAGTTCAAGGTATGTTAGGCAGTCATAAAGAAGCAGAGACACATTTTTGCAGCCGTCTATCAAAACCCCAGAAGCGCACTGGCAATGCCCAGTCAGACAGCACGTGCCCTGGTGATCCAACCAGGGCTGGCTGGGGGCCGAGGGGCTCCGGTCCACGCCGTCCATGCACCGCTCCCCCAGGAACGGGCTTGGCCATACGCGTGGCGTGCAACACTTGAAGCAATTACCTGGCATGATATCCAGCACTCGGGCCTCTGTGCCTGCTCATTCACAAGTTTCTAGTTCTTCCTAAAAGCCACCCAGAAGGCACCTTTGCCCCACGCATCTCCTGGGACAGTGCTGACTGGAGCTGAACTCAAACTCCTCAGCTTAAAGCTCCCTTCAAAATTCTGGTGAGGGAGGGAGGGAGGAAGGGAGGGAGGGAGACAGCTGCAAAACTCCCTCCTTCCCCACACCGGAGGAGGAACCACTGTTGTAGGAGGCCAGAGCCCCTTGAAACTCTATGTAATCCCATTCTGAGCCTGAAACATTCTTAGTAATACAAAGAACCTTTACAAGCTTGTACTTTCTATAACGTTCCCAAGATAATACAGCAATCCAGCTTAGCTGCGCTGCGTGCACAGATGCAAGAGGGAACCTGCACGTTCACGGCGACCTTGGCTGCCAGTGGAGGACCAGCAGAGCAACACCCACGTGGCCCACTCTTAAGGTCCCCACTGCGCTGACCTGCGCCCTCTGCCCGGGGACAGTCCTGCTCGCTCTGCTCCCATGGGAAGCACTCCACATTGGCAGCACAGTTGCATATTCTCTATCTTAGTCCTTTCTGTTTGCAGAAATCTTAGGACTTCCTGCTTTTTTTTAAGGTGTTTACTGATGACACTTTAAAAGATGAGGGGATCAGTTTTGTGCAAATGCACTGAAATACAAAGCAACACTACCCTAATGATTGTCAGGCGGTTGTGGGAAGCTTCCCTTCACTGATTCATCTGTTCATTGTTACTATCCTGTAAAACACTAGCTACTGGATTTACTTCTCTGTTTTAATTCCTGCTTTAAGTCCAGTAGCTCTGTTTTAACTGAAGCATATCTATCTTTTGTAAGAAACATCTCATCTTGATTTTCAAATATCCCATAATGGAGAAGCTAAACAACACTCAGTTAATTGTTCCAGTTACTAATTCCTCTCAGACTTAAAAATGGTCACCTTACCTCAGCTTGAACTGGGCTAGTTCCAACTTCCAGCTCTCTTTGTCTGCTGGGCTAATGAGTTCCTTGGTCATTACTTTTCTGTTGTTCATACATGCACTGATATATGGCCATCTCACCACCTAGTAACCCTTTCTTGCTGAAGTACAGAAGATTGAATTCCTCAACTCTCTCGCTAGAAGACAACGCTTTACAACTCCATCACGTTGATAGATAGCTCATAACACATGGCATTGAATACCTATTATAAATGCTGGATTTTTTCCACCATGATTTGAATAAAAATTAACTCATGCCTTTCCCAACTACTTTCTAGTTACTTTTACAGTCTTGCTTTTTCAGCACTGACCCCAAGAATGAAAAAAAAAAAAAACAAAAAAAAACCACCACACAACATTATGGTTATCTGGTTAGCTTTCCCTAGGTCTTCCAGGGCACTTCTTTCCATTTACTGCAAATCCCTATGGACTGGATCCAATTGATCCAATTCCATTTTGAATAAGATTTCCATGCCTTTCTTGCCTGCAAAGACAGCTGAGGAACCCAAATATCTCCCTTCCTCAAGGCTATGATACCAAATGCAGGAGGAGCAATAGGCATAGTTCACCTGACATTCACCTAGCAGCAAGCAAGTGATGAGGCTGTTAGGATCTCAGGTGTATTTAATCTGAAACTCTCACCCTCTATTTGCCTGCCAGGAAATCTATGAAGAAGGTGATAAAGCGGAGGAAGCGTGTGAACTTTCTACTGACCCAACAGTAATAGTGCAGAGAAAAAAATAATTACAAGCCACAACGCTTCCAGGTCACATCCTGGAATACAGAAGCCATAACCTTTCTTCAGGAGCAGCTGAAGAAAGGCTGTGCCTATAAGAACTTAAAATCTACCCTACAGATGATGTGCTCTACTTCTGGTCTGCTCCCTACACACAGCAGCTTGCAGGAGTGAATTGAAGTCACCACATGCACCAGAAAACCTGCTTCAAGTTCTCACCCCCAAGCGTGTCTAGTGCTGAGGACAGTCTCAGGAACATCCTTAACCGACTTCCTGGATACAGTCTTTGAGTCATAGACACCAACAGGCACTATGTCAGCACAAATCGGAGAGCCTCTATATATAACATAACAAATACTTTCAGATTCAAGGTCCTCAGAAGAACAATGCTTACAGTTATCTAGATTAAATATGCAGGGTTTTGTGACACCTGGGGAAAAAAAAATGTAATTTGACACTCTGTGCATCTTCAAACCCAGGCAGATTTAATAAGTTGCTCTACACGCTCTGCACTCCTCCTATTACAGCAATTCACGTTTAAAAGGTCTCACATCTCTTCCTGAGCATACTCACCGTAATGGAAACATGAAAGACAACAAAGTACGGTTAGCAGATGGCAATCTGTTGATGAAAAAGATCAATGTTTCTTTTGGGCAAAGCATGCAGACAAAGAATGAGGACAATGCAGAGGTAGGTGGTAGGAAGGGGAGGAAAAAGGAAAGGTGAAAAGACAGGTAGGAAATGAAGCGGCAAACAGCAAGCGTAAAGATTTTTAACTCACTTGGAGAGGAAGAGGGTTTAAAGATCTGTCAGAGAAGAACTGGGAGGGGAGAATCCCAGACGTCAAACACAGAGAAGCAGAGAGAGCGCCTGAACGCCTGACGTCTTCCACAGACCTAATGAAAGAATACAGGAAAGCAACTAGTGTCAGGAAAAACCAAGCACAGTTAATGAAAAAAAAAACCCAGAAACTTCCCACTGACTACAAAATAACTGTATCTTTAAGTCTCATTATTCAAATTAGAGGCCCACAGAGGAAATTTTAGGGCAGGAGAATTAACAGCTGCTGAATGTATTAGTCTTAAGAAGTAAAATGAACTAATAGCTTTCTGATACATTTTCAAAATGAATTCAGAGTTCATGATGATAAGAAATTATTGTGACAATTTTCTGAAGTCAAAACATGAGAGAAACATCATGCAAACCTCTCCTTCTGTGGCATTTTATTACCAAAACAGGAAAAAAACTTGTTTTCAGAAGACTCATTTCTCATCAGCAAATGAGAGCCACTTAGTACCCGTGTATTACAACGGCAGCCAAAGGAGACTGGAGCTCCACGACAGCAGTTTCTGTAAAAGCCTCCCCTAGTGGTAGGTGGTGCTCCTGAAGAGTGTGCAATTAAAGGCCATGTGCAGATGCTCTGTATCTTCATTAGCCTCAAAGCCCCCTTGCAGCAGTCACTTGGTGCACTGCTGCAGAGCAGCTTGTGGGCTGCAGTCGCTCCTGGTGGAGACATGAACATGCACAGGGCAAGTAAGGACAAGTACCTGCTACAGCCACCGCACCAGCCCCTGCGAAGCCGCATGCTGATGTGGTACTGCATTCGCTGGCAGAATGCAAATAGGGAAGCTAGCCTTTAGCAGAGGAGGAAAAATGATGACAAAAAAGAAGGTTTATCCTCTGTGTTGCCTTGTCACGCTGGAGAGAGGTGAAGACCAACAGAGGAATCCCTTGAAGGTCAGAAGGGAGTTTCGCACACCCAGATCTTGAAACCATTATCTTCCAGT